GTGCCGGTACCCGTGGCGGGGATGGGTGGCCCCGGCCACACGCGGCCGTCCCGGAGCGCTCGTGTGGGGCATCCCCGTGCCCATCCCCGGCCACGCGGCGCCAGCCCTGGCTCTCCCCACAGAGCTGTGGGTACAGATGTGTTTAGCCACGGTCCGCACGCCGGCCCTCTCGGGCTTGCTGGGCAGCTCCCCGGGCAGGACATCGCTGCTGCCGGCACCGAGCTGATGAACGTGGCGAGCGGGCTCGGGGTTACAGACTGCAGGGCTCGGTGCATAACAACCCTTCGGAGCTTCGGAGAGCAGCTTCATAATTCCAGCAAAAGCCTGGCCTCAAGAGGCAGCTCCGGCGCACCTTTTCGGAGGGTTTTCGTTCCGCCTCGCTCCTCTGCAGCTGGGTTGCTTATTGTGAATTTAAATCTATTAAATTAAAGATTTCAACAGCACATCGAAATGCAAATATCAGTGCTGCTTGCTTTACTTGAGGGTGGGGCTTTTAGTACTGAGGAAAAAAAGTTTAGGTTTGTGTCCATTTTTACTCCTGTTTACCTTGCTGGCTAAGGAAATTCCAACCCTGAATGGGGATAATATCCAGTATTTACCAACTTTCCCAGCTCATAAATGCCAGGGATCTTAGAAACATCCCGATGTGCTTGTTACCCTTGGAATTGTGAATCTCATGTCACCAGTGTGAAATTAGTCTCTACTCAGTGGCTAATGGATTCTGCTTCACACCATGTACTACAACTCCTAATTCAGTAGAGCACGTCCTCCTCTGATTGATGGTTCTTTATTGCTGGAAAACAAGCAGGAAAAATTGAGGCTTTTTGTTGTTTTTTTTTTTAATGTTAGTATTCAATTTTTCTAACTGAATATGATGGGGCCTTTGTGGCCCTTCTTGTTTGTGATGTTTTATTTAGCCATTTTTTCCCCCCACGTATTTATATGGGCCTATATTTCACATTCTGACTGAAAAGAGTTAGCTGACTTAAGTTCAATTTTTCATGTAAAGTGCACTTTGCTACAGTTGGATGATGGACTATTTACCCTAATTAACAGATGCTGCTAAATCTAAAACTTGTACACAGAAGGAACAAAATACATCTTGCCTCACTTTCAAAAGGGAGTAGGTGTTGAACTGAGTCAGCCAGCAATGTGTGACACAGTCAGACTGCCATAACCTTGATGGCAGCATCATTATTTTTCCCTTATTTTTATATAATACACTTTTTAAATGAAAATTTTCTTTCTGTTGTTTGCCAGTTTACTAAGCCCCTGGAGATTTCAAAAGCAGGTTTTTAGACTGTTTTTCTGTGGAAGGCCGTGCAGAACCAGCCACATGAATATGCTGCCATGACATTTGCAGGTTCACAGTCCGAGCAGTACTAACCAGCTTTGAAGAGATCAGTAGGTTTTGAAAAGGTCATATGGAGATATTGTATTTAGCACTTTGTTTCTGCAGATCTTCCTGTTTACAAATGTTTTAATTAAGCCTTTAGCAGCTGCCTCTGCAGGTAGTGATCCAATGGATTACCAGAGTTCAGCAGATGGGTGAAGTGGCACCCAGAGGTGACGTGTGGTTGGTGGTTCCAACAGGAAGGACCATTTGCAGTAGATCCTGGGCCACATGGAGACAGACTTTAAGATCTTGCACCATTTGGTCTGGGTCTCACCCAAACAACTCCTCAGTTACTGACTTACATATTCTGTGCCTACCACAATGGGTATATTTTTAATTTATCAGTGTGTGTTTACATTCGAGAGAAACCTGATCACATAATTTTTATCTAGGTTTTTCCTGTAGTAATCTTTAGGAACATAATCTTTAAAATGGAGTGTGAAATGATTATTTAATTGGGTTCTTGTAGAAGAATTTCTTATGTTGAGATTTCTGACTGGCTAACCAATTTCCTTGAGCAATATGTTTTTCCACATGATCGATTCACTTATTTTCCTCAAGAAGATACTGTAATTTTAATTGGAAAGCTTTGACATATTCTGAACCGACTCAGAAAATGGAAGTCAGTTTTTTCTTTCATTAAAGATCTTGTACAGTGGATGCAAATAGAAATAGAAATGGAAAATGAGACACTAGCTCTGTTGGCTTCTACTTCTGAGTTTGGTTTGGATGGGCATTTTGTAAAGACTGAAAAAAATGTGTGGGTTGTTTATAGTACATTTATTGCACACCTATATCACCTATATATTTTTACAGGACTGTTAGCCTTGCCTCTGTCTGGGAGTTAGGTTGGTATAAATGTTGACCTCTGGCAGGTTATTCAAACACTTCCTGTTGATCCTCAGGGAAGTCCCAACTTTTGCAGGAGGTAGGACTATATGGATTATCACCATAAAATTTTGAAGAGTTCTGTTTTTCCCCAACATGCTTCGTTGACATTGTTTAGACTTAATTGTCACTCAGTTCAGGCACCTGACTTAAGACAAATGGAAATTAAAATGCTGTTTCACAGGCCTCAGGTCTGTAGTTCTGTGCTCTCAGCAGTTTTTTATAGACTGTGACAGATGTCTTTTTCTACTCCCAGCTGTTGAGAGGTTACTGTTCCTACCTGCCTGTTCCCATCATCTGACAGAGGTTATCACTGAGGAAGCAAGTGACAGGAATGTCCTTGTATTAGGAAAAAATTACAGTCTTGCCCTGAACTTCGTTATTGGTCTCAGCTATTTTGGCAGACTGTTCCTGCAGTGAGTTAGCAGGTGCTTAAATACAGTTCTGGACCAGTGGGTCAGTGAGAATTGAAGAGCTGGGAACATCTTCCTTTAGCACAGCTGGATACAGAGGACTTTGCTTCATAGTCTGGTTTCAAAGTCTTACATTTTTCCACTTCCAAAGGAAGATTTGTGCCTTCAGAGCTACAAACACAATCCAGTTCATTAAATCTGAGAAAAGAAGAAGATGGTTGAAAGTATAGATGTTTCAAAAAATGGCCAGCCTGGTATGACCTCTAGCTCTGAGCTCCAGTGTCTGTGGGTGGAGTTGGTTCCTGATGTACTGTTGAATAACTTCAACACCATTAGCTTCTTTCTGGCCTTTGCTGAAACATTAGAAAAACCTTAGTAAAATTAGGGAATTGTGACAACTCCAAGTCATCAAAACTAGCCAGGACAGGTCTGTTTCTTTATATGTAAGTACAGGTGTGACTGACTGTTGACGTTCAGTAGACAGCTGTGATCAGCAGCTGTTTTAATTTTCCATTGTCTGTTTGCCCAAACTTTGACCAAACTCAGCGAAAAAAATCACAAAAAAAAAATATTACTTTGTTATCAACTGCTAAACATTATGTAATGGATAATTGCCACCATGTAATTACTGCACATTCAGAAGATACTCATGATGCAGAAAACTGAAGCTGTGTGTTTCTGTCTTTCTTTGTAGTTCATGCAAAGGGGTTTGGATTCACAAACTAAAAAACAACTAGAAGAAGAAGAGAAGAAGATAATTAGTGAAGAACACTGGTATCTTGATGTACCAGATCTAAAGGAAAAAGAGTAAGCTTGTAATCTTTTGTATTTCTGATCATCATTGTATTGTTTTGAAATGGAAATAGCATATCCATATTTTTTCCTGTAAGATAAGTATTATAAGTAACCAGTTAACAGAAGCAAAAATAGTGACAGACTGGCATTACAACTTTTTTTATTACTTATTTTTATGGCTGTTCTTGAGGTTGCCTAGTGTAGTTTGACCTACTTTCAATTCTTCTGTGTTTTGTTTTCTTTCACTCACATTCTTCTTAGATGCATGTAATTAGTTTCCTTCAGTCAGGATCCAATTCATTCATTGCTGCTTTTCCCCTTCACTTGGAAAAAGAAGTTTGAAACCTTGTGTTAGTAGATTCAGCTCCAGTCACATGGTAAAGTCAGTTCAGGACAGTTCTGTCATCTTGTGTCCAGCTCACTTCAAATCCTGGTTCTGAAATAGGAGAGATAATGGCAAAAATAAAGGAAGGCTTAGCTAATAAGGAAAACTGTGTCCTGCTCTTTAGAAAGGTGCTTTAAATAGCAGGAGGACTACTTTTGAAATTGCTTGGGTTTCATCCTTTCAAAACTGAAAAAAATTCCACTGAGGGAGAACATACATAATTTTGAAAAAGCTGGGACTCAAGGAATTAACTAGTTGAACAAGGCCATTGATAAACTCTTTACCATTACTCTTGGTGGATATGACAAAAAGGTATTTGAGCTTCAGTTGCAGCAAGGCGTGTTGAAGCTGGACATTGGGAGAACTTTCGTAACAATAAGGCTATTGAAGCTCTGGAGTAGATTGCCTGAGGGGACACTGGATTCTTCATCGTGGGAAGTCTTTTGAGGACAGGTTAGCTGGACCTCTGCTGTTCATGGCACACATGTAACTGATACTGCCTTGAGGCAGGACAATGAGCTCAATCTCTTCAGCCTAAGTTCTGTGATCATGACAGTTTGACTTACATGGGAGATGATGAGGGAGCTGGTACACACGTGTGAGGAAAAGGATGGAACAATCCATGGAAGTACTTTTATCTGACACGTGTATTATGAATGCCTCAGGGTCGTGTTTCTTTTCTCACTCCATGCTCATTAAAAGAGGTAAAAAAGGAGGGAGAAGGGGGAAATCTGTGTGCTGAACAGAGTGACACAGTATTTTATACTCTGACAGACTCAACTAATGCCAGGTCTAACAGCACAATGAAAAATTAATTAGAAGCTTTTGCTGGTATAGTAGTGCCACCTGGGGAGTGATATTTATGTGGTATTTTTATTCTGGCAAAAGTATTAATGTAGGTGGAACCATACCAGCAAAGAGTGCTTTTTGTCAGGAGAGTTAATTTTGCTTGTGGAACTGGCACAGCTTTACTGGTAAAAAGGATTCCTTTGCACTCCAAGCTCCTTGTACTGAAAGATTTATCAGAGCAATTACGCAGAAAGTAGTTGATGGTTTAAAATACATTGTGGCTTTGTTTATTTGTGTGGGGTGAAGACAGCACATCCTTTTTGCATTTGTTTAATTTGATTATTTTAAAGTGCATGGTTTGACAAAGTGCTGGGTTTGGGGTTTCATGCAGGAGCTGTATAATAGAAGAGAGAAGCTTTCTGCGATGTGAGGATTTCGTTTATGGCCGAATGTCCTTCAAAGGATTCAATCCAGAAGTTGAGGTACCATTTCAGTGTCCTGGTTTGGGGTTGTCTCATATTGGGGATTTGAGTGTTTATACTGCAGCCTTATTGGCCTTTCCAGCACCTTCCATAAATCCTCCCATGTCCAGAAACTCCATCATTCAACCCTAAATGTTGATCAATGCCCCATCTGGTAAATGGAATCTTTTTACCTTCCTGTGTTGTTGGTCGGTAATTGCATGACTCCTGCAGATTTTCCCTCCCTGAAGTGAGGAGAAACCATCCCACATGCTGCTCACCAAAACAAAAGCTCACTTTTCCTCCTGACATAGAATGCAGAGTCCAATCTACAAACATTCAACACTATTTATTCAGCACTTACTTGTATAAGTAATGGTTTAGAGTTCCAAAGCAAAAATGCTGGGCAGGAGAGTCTTTAATTTCTTTCTGTCATGATTCATGCTGATAGAAGTACACAGGGACAGTAATAAAAAGGTTACCACTGAACTGAAGCAGAGGATGAAGGTGTAAAGGCTAAGAGATTTGCAGAAGGCTGTGCAAGGTAATTTACTAGGGGATTCTTCTAGTTACTTTGAACTTGCTGCCCCTGTGACTCAGCATATGATTGCTTCATGGCTTTTACTGTAAATCCTTGAAGATACTCTTTCTTGTTAACAAAACCATCTCAAGGTCTGTGTGCTAACATCACGATGAAAAATTAATTATGATCTAACTCTCTGGTCTCCTGGAGATGTTTGTAGTGCCCTTTAGGATGTTTGAGTAGGACAATACACTGAAAACACTGTCTCTCTGTTGCCTTTTTTCCCAAAGGCAGACTCTAAGCTCAGCTTAGCAACAGACAGGCATGTTGCCTTTTCTTCATGAGTTCATAACAATAGCATAACAAGGAACAGAAAATAATTATTAAATTGTATTCTTACCTTTTGTGCTCTTCTAGCAGTGAATTTCAGCACTGTTGCCATTGTGTCATGGTTACATGTTTAAGCTGTTTGTCACTTCATTTTCAGAAGTTAATGATCCAAATGAACTCTAAGTGCAAGGAAGAAGAAATTGAAGAGGATGATAAAATGGAGGCTGATGTGTCAGATGAAGAAATGGCCAGAAGGTAAGTTACATTTTATGACATAATCAGTACTATCTAGTAATATGATAGGTTACTGTATTATATGTGGGGAAATAAAACCCAAAAAGGAAACAAACAAAATTTTAAAAGCCCACAATAAATATGGAACTGGACCAAATTGATTTTCCAGGAATGCTGGTGTATATTCACTTGAATCTCCATCACATTTTGGGGGTAAAATAACTTGTAGGGGTTTTCTGCCCTTTGATATCCAGGTATTCCATGCTAATTCCCTCCTTGTTACCAGTTGCTAACAAATTGAAACTATCAAAGTGAATAACAGTGTAATAAGTCATGTAGTACTTGTGCTTCTCCAAGCTTTTAATGACCAGGTTTTTTACACCACTTAAATTGTGGATTAGGTTTAGGGTATGCTCCACAATTCTTCCTCTGATATTAGTAAAAGGTGTAATTTTTTGTTATTCTCTCTACAGATATGAAACATTAGTGGGAACAATAGGGAAGAAATTTTTGAGAAAAAGGGACCAACGTGTACTCAAGAATGATGACGAAGATGAAGATGATGAAATTGAAGAGGGGAATAGTAACACAAGACCTAGTAAAAGAGCCAAGAAAATGTTCTTAAAACCTCAGGATTAATGTCAACTGCACAAGTGGAACTTGTTACCTAATGCCTACCAGAGTACCAAGAACTGGAGATTGTTTGGAGTTTTTGCTATTTAATGTAAAGGGTGGATTTCTAAATCTGTTCTGTTCTCATTGAAATTTCTACCATCCACAGGACAGACACTTTCCAAAGTGGGTGTTTATATAATGGATGTTGTACATCCTTTCCTCTCTCAGCAGCTTTTCATGAGTGGGGCACTTGTCCTGTCAGTCTCTAAATGTTCTGCATAGTTAAATTAAGTGTTGTATGCAATCAAAAGCAACATTATTTTCAATTTAGGATAACATCTGAAAGAAGTATTTGGAGTAAAGATGAGCTGTGTCCAATTCAGTAAGGCAGTTCAGCTTTCACTGCTTGCTTTATTACAAAAATGAAACCTGCGCTCTCTTCAAATTGAAAAAAGTCAGCAGAAACATGCTTGGTTTGTGAGCTTCTTTACTCTGCTAAAAATAAGATGGTAAGAACAGAGATAAAATCCACTTTATTGAATTTTATTTTTTATAAAGTTTATTTTAAAATAGAGGATTTTGTAGTGAAACTTTTTTTTATTCAGCAAGCCAAATATTGGGCGACGTTTACAGTTTGACATCTGAGCAGATTGTGAGTCTTAGCTTCTGCCTTCCAAAAGAAGTTTGCTAATTTTGCCTTTTTCAGCAAAAAAATCCAATCTTGTAATTATGTAAGTCTTGTCACAAAAGCATAATAACATTTTCAGAAACATACTTGAAAGCTGAATAAAAACTGTGGGGCTTTGTGTTAATGATTGTGGATTAGCTTATTTAATGTAAAAAAATTATGCTTAATATAGTCTGATACAAGGAGTGATCTTGTTTTGTGCTGGCCACAGATGTCCCCCAACATCAGCTGAGTGCACTGATTTATTTAGCATGTGATGAAACCATCTCAAGTTGTGTTAGGATAGAAACACAATTCTCTGGTCACCTGGTGCTCTGGGCCTGTTGAAAAACATCAGTGTGGTCTTGTCTAATATCAGAGCGATAATCTGTGTACGGCCTTTCAACAAGAAATATTTCTATTGCTGCATTTCTTCAGGATGTCCAAGCTACTCATCCTTAATGCTGGCTCTCTGGAGAAAGAGAAATTTGTTAATTGAAGCAGGGAGTGGCCATTCTGCCATAGGCATGAAGCTTTTTCTGGTCTTTTTTTAACAGCTCAGTGAAGCAAGACGTGAAACTCAATTATTTAAAGAAGGGCACACTGTGTCTGCTGTATTTTGCATGTGATACATGAACTATGATCCATATATCAGGATCACCTAATTAGATATTCAAGATGGATCACACATGGAAAGAGAAATATACTTTTAACCTAGTAAGGGGACTTCCTGCAGGTGAAAAGGCTGTGATTCATGATCTGAGATAGCTTTTCAGAGCTAATTAAATGCTACTGGTTCAATTACTTAAAACCTGATCATATATTACTGCTAGCTGAAAAGGAGTTAATGATGGCAAGACATTTTTCTTCCCATGGAAGATGTGACCTGAGCTAAGAAATGATTTATTGTTGGTCATCACAAGAAAAACTTGGAATATATCCCATTATTCTTTCTTGCTTATTAGCAGGAAAATGATTCCTCTCTCTCTGAATGCATTTCTTGAATGGAGAGTGAATTTCTGCATAGCTGTGCTGAATAGTTGAGGGGTAAAGTGTGTTCTGGTGAACCACCAGGCACCAGGAGATGTCACTGGAATTGCATGTCCTGAGAGACCATGGGTTGGGGACGTTTCCAGCAGTGCCATGTAAAGAAGCTTTTGGGTGATTTTGATTTGGTTATTTTGATAACAGCAGTGGCTGAGATGAATTCTATGTGTAGTCTTCCTTTCTCAGGGTTCTGCAGCAAATTTTCCTGCATTGCAGGGTTCTGTTGTGTCCAGGGTGGGTAATTCTCATCCAAGGGCATTCTGCCTCCTTAATTTCATGGCATTTCCTGAGGGATAGCTGGACACACAAGTCCACGGTACATGGATAAGCACATGGGAAGCTAAAGAACTTTCTAGAAAATCCATGATTTTGAAATTTGGACAGAGGAATGTTGGTTCTCTTTCCGAAACATGCCCAACACCAACTGTGAAGAGAAGGTAGATTTTAGTTTAATGTCTTTAAACCTGGGGGCTTTGCTGTTCGCATTCAGCTGGTGGCTCAGTGATACAGTAAAACCAGCTACTTATTTTTAGCACAATCTTTTATTCATAGGGCATTTGCAAAATGTGCTTTTTTAAAGCACAGTCCATAGTGTGTTACTGTGAGCAAGACAAAACCAAAACTCAGCCCTGTGTGACTTTTTCAATGTACTTTGCATCCAGAGTTACAGGCAGACATGGTGAGATCTGAAATACCTGTCTGCATTTCCAATTGTATAAATACATGTATGGATGGATGGGTTTAAGTCTGACTCAAGCTTCCTACCTGAGGTAGAAACATTCTGCTGTATAAAATCTGTGCTTGAACTACTCTTGACAGAGGTGTAAGCATAGCAGTGAAATATTCATAAAGCAAACCTGCATTGATTCAGGCTTTCTTGGCTCTGACAAAAGCTCCAGTACATTTTATGTGCAAGCTCCTAAGCTGTAGGACTTTCCCACGTGGTCATGTTTCTAAATGAAAAGTGTTTCTTCTTTGAAAACAGAAGCAAGTTGGGTAAGTAGTGTTTTTATTACAGAAAATGGCTGCCTGCAAAATGAAACTGGTGAAGTGTTACCAGACACCAGCAGTGTTTGTACCTGTGACCCTGAGGTGCCTGTGGATGGAGGTGGTGCTCTCTGACAGCTCACATCTGTCCCTTGTCATGTGAAGTTTGGTCCCTCTCTTTGTCAGGGTGGTGGTGCTTTTTTTGTAATAACTGCTGGGCTTGAAAATATGGAAGTATTGAACCTTCATCTTTCTTGCTGATGTTTCTCTTTTACTTCTATTCTGCTTAGTATTGGATCTTAAAAAGCCCAGGACCAGAGTCCAACTGAAGTGAGCCATCCGGTGTGAATTTAGTAATGCTTGAGCTGATTAAACTTTGGTTCCTGGGGAGGGGCAGGATGTTCAGTGGTGCTGTGGAGTTTGAACCGTGTTTCTTGTGCTCTGTGTCTCTAATGAGACACTCCATTATGCAATGCTACAACCACGAGTGGCTGTCGTTGCCATTGGGCATTGCTTGTGTGTGTAATGGGCAGCTGGGCTGGGATTCTGGGACTTCATCCAGCATTCAGACTTTAAAAGAAATTGTCTTGTCTTTCTCTTGATTGGAATACCATACTTTTAAATTGTATTTGGAATTGGATGTGTCTGGGGGTGGAGGGGGGGCGGTTTCTCAGCATTTGTTTTGCTTCATTTGAACAACAGTCCACAACTAAAACAGCAAAATCACTTAGGCTCTCATTAAACCTTTCTCTGAGAGTGCTAATAAAGCATCGTGGTAGGGAAGGATGGCAGACATCCCACAGTTCCCTACTGCATGTGAATTCAAGTTTCTGTGAGAGCTGATGCTTTAAGGACTTGGTGGTTTGTTTTCTTTTCAGGCTGGGAGAACATCAGCTTCTACAATACTGCCTTGCTAATGGAGCCCCAGCATGAGGCCTCAGGGTCTGTTTGGTTTTGTTTGGTTTTACACCGTTCTCTTCTCAAACCTCTCAGGCATTTTGGACCTGGCATTCACACCTCAATAAACTGCTTTCATCAGCTTTTGGGGAGTTTTAGTTAAACTGTGAAACTGTTCCTTTGCTGTATGTGTTGACATTTCTTCCTGTGATTTCATGTGTCTCAGTGAGGACCTGCTTACAATTGTCAGGTTGAGATGAAAAATCCCTCTTAGAGAGTGGTTATTAACAGATGGGAGTCGTCAGGGGCATGGTTGGAGTGTCAGTCACCAGCAGCTCTGTAGATCTTTGGTAAGAACCAACAGTAGAAAGGGTAGCTGGGTGAGTCCCATCACTGCAGGCCCAGTTAAATGCTGATAGAAGCCCATAACTGCCCAAGAAACCCTTGCATACCAAAATCCAAGCAATTATCTGGGAGTAACAGCAGGGAAACCTCTAGGGAAATTGGGAAGCAAAATAGCCACTCTGTTAATGGCTCTCCTCAAGACAAGAAAACAGCTGTGGTTGATGGCACAGATGGAGAAATGTGGTTTGGTGAGCTGGGTAGATGAGAATCCCATCAGATGGAGTGAAGGTGGTCAGTGTTTTGAAGCTTGTAATGTTCCCTGAGGTCTTGGGGAGCACCTTATCATGATCAACTATTTAGAAAGGGGTAAAAACCCTTAATGGGATATTAATATGAGGGAATAAGCTGAACACAAATTACTGAACAAATTCCATAATTCCATTAACAGAAAAGCTGTGTTCTGGCCTCAGTAAGATCTTTCAGTGTCCCCTGTCACCTCTTGCTTGGCTCTCAATTCCTTATCCCTGTGTACCCAGGCCATGACTGCCACCACAGCCGGTCACACAAAGAGCTGGCACACACCACAGCCAGTCCAGAGCTGCTGATGACTCCTAGGCCTCTTCAGTGATCATCTTCCTCAGCTACGACCTCTTCATCCAGGTTCCTGTAGGAACTCACCATCTCCAACACCACTGCTGGTGCAATTATGTCAGGGAAGGTTTTGATTAGATGCTATGAAAATTTTTTCACAGGGTTGGAAAGGACTGGAAGACTGTCAAGGGCAGTGGTGGAGTCACCATCCCTGAAAGTGGCACCTGAGAACAGAGTTTAATGGTGAACATGGTTGTGATGTTGGGTTGGTTGTTGAGCTCAATGATCTCAAGGACTTGTCTAACCTCAGTGATCCTGTGATCCTAAGAAGTCTGAGGTGGGAAGGGTTGGCCAGCAGATCAGCAGAATGAGTGAACAGCCCTCACCTGGCAGATGGTGTGTGCAGGTGTCAGTGCAGCCAGGGCCAGCTGTACCTAAAACAACTCGTAATGTCTTTATTTTCCTTTTATTTATTATCAGGTATACACTTACAGCATTTGTGAGATTAATGATCAAATGATGTTTTTGAGTAAAAAGATTATTCAGTGGGAGGAATCAACATTTGACCAATACTCAGGCTTATTATGGACTGGGGAGAAAGGGTGTTTTTCAGCATTTCAGGTATTTTTTGATGCTTTTAAGAATGTTTCCCCTTTCTTAGTGGTTTCCTTGGTTGGGCTTTTTGCAGAGAAGCATGGTAGAAGGAACAACATTTTCTGAAAAATGGGGAAACATGATTGTGAAAAAAGGAAAGGGTTCCTTTGGATTTGGCTGGCTCCTTGTTTTTGTTTTGTTTTTTTTCACTTTGATACAGATGAACACTAATGGCATTAAAGTTCCTGTGCTGCGTGTCCACTCAGGACAGCCATATGGACACTCATGTTTGCAGGACAAAATTAAGGGTATAGTGGGCTTAGCTTCATATACAAATAGAATGCAGTCCTCAAAGTACAGAATTTCCACCCCTTTTGGGACAAAAGTAAATCTAAGCCAGCTGTGACATTTAAGTACCAGTCACAGTTTATAGGATATTATATCTCAGGAACAAAGCTTAGCAGTTATCTCCTTAGAGCCCATCAGCCACAAAAACACTGCAATATATAGAATTTTCATCACCAGAAGAATAGCTACATACCAAAAATTACTTGGGGCAGTTTACTGCAGCAATGGCCGGAGGGATGCACATGATGATGATTTTCATTTTGTACTATGGTTTGTCTAAGGATGATGGTGAAAGAATTATGCCTCCTAATGCTCCTTTCCAAGATGACAATGTTTCACTTATATTAAGGGTAGAGGAATGAGATGGGCTCTGAGTGGTTGGATCTTGTGAAAAATGAAGTTTCAAATGTGTACTTCATTGTCTAAATGCTCACAGATGACTTGTCTCCCTATAATAACCTTAGAAAATGTGTTGGCAGCATATCACAATTAATAATCCATACTCATGTGCTACAGGCAGTCCAAAATTCCCAAGCCATATTTCTTACCCAAGCTTGTAACCAGATTCAAATCAAATCCTACATTTGTGCCAAAAATTGAACAGCAGTCATCTCCCAGCAAATCATTTTACCTGACTTGAGAGTCTTAAATTCCTGATTTTTCCCAAAGTGAAATTCACATTAATCTCATATTAATGTATATATCCTTCAGTCACCTGCAAAAGAATCCCATAACCTTGCAGTAGGGATTGCACAGACAGTGGAAGGTGCTGTACACACGTAGCATTACTGTAGGTTTTCCTGGCCATCTAGATTGTGTAAGATCCTTTAATATTAATGGGGACAAGTTTTCTCTCAAGGGTGATGTTGAATTTCTCTTTGAGGGTTTTTTCCACCTCTTCATCTTCGAGAGCTACAAATTCTACCAGATCCATGTTTTCTTTGTAGTTGTACGTGGTTTCAGTGAACGTCCACCCAATTAGTGCTCGGAATCCATGGGTGGTCTGGAGGGCACAGATGGACTTCTTTGTGAAGAGGGAATCTGGAGAGGTCTGGAGGTATGTGCACTGGAAACGGAAATCTTCCACTGTCTGTGGCTCAAGGCTGAACATATAAACTTTCCGACACTCGTTTTTCTCCAGCAGGTCAGAGTTGGAGAAGCTCTGATTGGGGATGTATTGTTTCCGTCTCATTTTCTCCAGGTACCAGACACCGTTCTTTTCCGTGAAGCGGAAGACGCCGGGAACCTGGGGCTGGTCTTTCCCTGACACAAGCTCCATGGGCTGCCACATCTGGTAGGACACCCCGAAGCCTCCATCAACGATGTAGGCTTTGCCATCGATGACGACCTTCACTACGAGGTGGGTCATGAGGGTGGCGTAGGCGTTCTGGTGGGGGTTGAACACGTACGCCCCCAGGAAGCTGGTGTCGTACCCCAGGCCCTTCAGCACCCAGCCCAGCAGCTGGTTGTTTTCCATGCACCAGCCACCCCGCTTCCTCTGCACAATCTTGTTGTAAACGTGCTCCAACTCCAAAGTAATTTTCTCCCCGCAGTGGATGCTGAGGTTTTCGAAGGGAACGGCACGGATGTGGTGCTGGAATATATCAGTTAAGGTTTCCAAATCTTGTTTTTCAGTGGAGCCTTTATAGCCAGTTCTTGCAAAATACTCTTCAAGGTTCATCTCACCTGTAAAGGAAGGAATTGTGTTTTGGTTTCTTTACATCAGTGATTTATGATGCTGTGAAAAGCTGCCCTAGCTCTGCCAGCAAAGATTCTTTAATCTACTGAACCTCATCAGAACAGCTTTTAAAGGAAACAGGTATTCCTATCAAATGGTTCCCTGAGCAAAGAGCAGTGCACGTGAGGGTTTGCTTTTGTCTTAGAGTCATCCCTCTGGCAAACAGCTGATGCCATTTCAGTTTCATGCGAGGCGGCTGCGAGATGGGGATTGCTGTATTTGCATTGTAGCAGCAGGGTTAAGAAGAAAGGTAAGATCATGCTGGGGAGTGTGTACAAGGGTTCATGAGAAATGGTCTAAAGCTGCTGTTCAGTGACAGGACTGTCACTGGGGGAGGCAGTCTCACCTGCCAGTGGGAGGGTGGACAGTCTGAGCCAGGATTCTCATGCTCTTTTCATGAGTCTGCCACTGATGGACGTGACAGTAAATGAATCACTCGTTCAGTACATGTAGTCTTCAACCACTGACAAAAAGTTAACATGAAAAGTAAAGTGACAAGCTTTATTCAGATAACTGCAAGTGAGAAAACGCTGACTTTTGAAAGAGTCACAGACCACTGAGTCTTGTGTCTCCTCTGGGTGTTGTCGAAACTCATTTTGGTGTTGGAGTAATGGATCTGAATGGAGGTGAGTGGCCTAAAAGACAAGGAGCACATCTCCATTCTCTCCTGTGCCTTCTGTCTCACAGGCCACCCTGAAAATGAACAGGGGCTGCTTTACTCTCTCTGGTCCCAAATATTCTCAAAATTCACCAATCCTTAAACTCAGCAGTGAACTGTTGAATGTTTACTGCAAACTAGAATTTCTCAGGACAATTCTCAGTGGCAGATTCATGCTGTGCATATTCCTGGTGTAGAGACAGCTGTCCCAGGTGAATGGAGAGCACCAGCAAAAACTGCACATTACCTGCTACAGGGAGGAATTTAGCTTCCAGTGGTATCTACGTGTATTGTTGGAGGATACATTCAATGTGAGATTTGTTAAGTGTAACATAAAATCCCAGCACTTTTGATTTGCAGAATCTGAGTATATCTGATCCTACTGTGAATGCTAAAAGGATCACATCCAGCACAGAGCTGGTTCTCAAGTTTGTATTATTTGTAATTTCTTTCTGCAGCTCCATAATATGCTTGATCAGCATTAGATCTGGACTGCAGGAGATGAAAGCCACTGTTCTTTTGAAATGTGAGCAGACCAGATGAAAAGGCAGGTACTGAAAAAGTCGTCCCACAAATGTGACTATGATTTATGCGGAGAAAAACATCAGCAGAAGAATTTTAAAGGTGCAAATGAAGGTGTTCATACAAAATTATTCCTTACCAGGACTATACATAGTATCAGCAATTCCACTGTTGAAAATATGTTATTTGTCTTCCTTTATCCTAATATATCAGCACATGGACTTTCTGGGTTGCACAGCCCAGAGTCTATAATTTTTTTTTAAGTTGTTTTTAAAGAGCTGTAATTTTATTCCCTTAAAGCAGAATCTATTGATTATTAGACTGAACTTTTTCTTCCTTTGCACTTGCAATACTTTTAAAAAAATATAAGTATCTAAAAGCATGACTTCCAACAAGAAGTTGCAGTTCTAAATTCATATCTACTATTGTTCTTAAACAAAAGAATATATTTTATAGTGAAGTGAGGCTTCTCCTGAAGTGTGAAAGGTAGAAGAATTGAAATTTCATATCACTTTTTTGCCCTCTTTAAGAGCCCCTGTTTAGCAGGTGATATTTTAGCTCTATATCCATACATTTTTAGAACACTTCTCCTGCAGAATGTTGCTTACATTATTGTCCATGACCTTTACCATCATAAAGAAACCAGGTTTTTTGTATCTTTCTTTGGAGGGACTTTTTAAGAAAATAAACTTACCTCTTATGAGATCCCTTTTTATTTATTGAGGTATTCAGTTTCTGAGTGGTTTATTACAGGGGCAGCAGTCAGTGAAGCCAGGAGTGGATACAGATTGTGAGGGCTGTCTTTCTAAGCTCCGCTGGCCCTCGCTCCTGAATCTTAAATTCCAAGAAAGGGCAGAGTCCACCCAAAATGAATTCACATTTTTGGACTTCGCTGATCCGTGAGCAAATTAAACTTTGTTTCTTCTTTATTAGTAGATGTTTATGCCTTCACCTAGTTAAGACCAGAATGAACTCGTTTTCTGAATAAAATAATTACAGTAGGATGTTGCCAATGACGTTGTAGCTTTTTTAAATTAAATACTGCTATTTTGCAAGCCAGCACTTTGCAGTGGAGTATGTTCATCTGTGCCCTGATGGGTACACTGAGGTGCCAAGGTGTTGCAGGCTGTGTCTCTGAGCTCCATGGATGCACAAATGACCTTTTTTTGCCCTAACAGGAACTTTTTCAGTCTGTTCAACTCCTCAGCTGCAGCAGAGAGTTATTGTGGACACACCTAATGAATGCCATGGCAAATATTTCTTTGCATTTCTGCTCTAAAACGTGGCCTTTTTGTTTAATTCTCCCCCAGTCAAGTCTGCCTCCCCTTCATTTGATGGAGGTGGAACATCAGAGGAGGCCTCTTTGGGACAGGCAGAGAGCACATTAGACTGCACCTGGGGAACCATCAGGTACCCCATAGGTCTGTGTGGTTAACTAAAGCAAGTATCAAAGTCTTTTCCTTGGCTGATGTTCTTCTGTGGCCCTCTTTCATGGCACACCCTGTACAGTACCACAGGTATCATCAGCTAAAAGGCTTCTGTGTTATGGATATCCTGCTGTGAAACCACACTGGTGACATGTCCTCACTTCCCAGGGCTTTCTTTTGCATCAAAGTTTAGATTATATTTTGCAAAGATTGACCTAGCTTTTTTTTCCAGTTTTGATACCAAAAGCCTGATTTTTAAGAAGTGTTGAATCATCTCATCTTCCACAGGTTTGATTTTGAATTCAGAGACACAGATAAATCAGACTCAGAAAAGGTGGGTACTCAAAATTAGAGAGATTTGGGGAGGGCTTAGGTACCCTTGGATAAATATCTTACTTTAAGTCAATTTCTGAACAGGCAACAGGGCTCAAGTCCTTCAACTTTTCATCTGTTACTCAGCACCTAATGGTGGCTTGTTTTGAGAAAGTCTTAACCTTTCTTTTTACTACAAAGTCTTTAAAACCCAAATTCAGCTCAGCTTTAAGACTGTTAAGGGAAGTGAATAATTTGTAAAAGTTGCTGAGAAGATGGGAAATAATGCCAAAAAAGGTTAGAGGTCTTTCATGTAAAATGGTAACACAACCTCTCCTTCTGCATCATTTTGGCCTCATTTACCACAAAATATATCTGCAATAAAATGAGTTCTTGAGAAGGTGAACAAAAAGTTAAGTAGTCAAAAAGCAATTTCCATATGAGCCGAACTGAGCTAGTAAGATGTCTTGGTTTCTAAAGAAGGAGAGATTTAATAAAAAATATGCAATTGATATATGCAGTTAATTAGCAATGTACTAGAATTTACCAAGCTTGATGACTAGCTCAAGTTAAAAATGCAATTATTGTAATTAATGTTAATTTTAGAATTTTTCTCCTGGCTATTTAAAGATCTATCTAGCACAGTGTTACAGTTAGATCTTATCCACTAAATTAGGTGGCAAGCCACGAACATTTACTGGTACTAGTTTGTTCTCCAGTACTATATTGAATTTATCTTTCAGTGTCTTCTCAACCTCTTCATCTGTAAGGGTTGTGATGTTCACCAGGTCCGTGTCCTCTGTGTAGTTGTATTTCATCTCACTGAAGGTCCATCCAACCAAGGCAAGGAACCCATTGGTAGTTTGGAGAGTGCAGATTGACTTCTTCCAAAGGATGTTATCTGGAGACACTTGGAGGTAGGCATTTAATTCCTGGAAATCATCTATATGCCGTGGCTCAAGAGTAAATCTGTATATTTTTCGGATGTTCCCCAGTTCTGGAGTATCAGGGAAGTCACTCTTACTGTGCTCAGGAATATAATGCTTCCTTTTGACTTTCTCAAAGTACCAGATGCCGTTGTCTTCCATGAAGTGGAAAATGCCAGGGACCTGGGGTTGGTCCTTTCCAGAAATCAGCATCAGTGGCTGCCACATCTGATAGGCACCACCAAACCCAGCATCTGCTATGTAGGAATCTCCCTTGATCACCACCTTCAGCAGGATATGGTTTATCTCAGCAGTGTATCCCTTCTCTGCTGGCTCATAGCTGTTTGCACCAAGAATACAGACATCATACCCTAATTCTTGCAAGGCCCAGAAGAGGAGGTGGTTGGTTTCCAGGCACCATCCACCACGTTTCTTTCTCACAATCTTATCGTAAGTAGATTGCAAATCCAGTTTGATGGCCTCCCCACAATGCATGCTGAGGTTCTCAAAAGGAATGGTCTGGATGTGATGCTGGAAGATGGCTGTCAGGGTCTGCAAGTCTGCATCCTTATGGGGCTTGCTGTAAGATATTCTTCCAAAATACTCCTGAATGTTCATTTTGCCTGTGTGAGCAGAAAAGTAGCCAGTTACTGCTGTGCAGCTGTCAAGGGGTTCACTCCTGTTTCTGTAGCACAAGTTAACCAGCCTGCAAATGTAGTCTGGGCCATTTTATTGAGGATCTCAAAGAATTTTAAGTATTTCTTTAAAAAGAGAAAAGGACAGGAACAGGTGGCAATAATGCTTTCCCTCTCTCAGGGGCTGCCTTCAAACCAGGTGGATGTTTTTCCCATGGGAAGATACAGCACATGCCATTACAGAATCTGGCCACAGAGGAGGATCCCACATGACAAAAGTTTTTGAAAATCAAGAAATAACATGTTTGCAGAAAAGCTGCCACACCATACCAGCATAAAAGTCACAGTAGGATCTTAACTGTTTCTTTTACCATACCAGGTAAGCAATTCTTTCTTTATCCCACAGGTAATTTAACTGGAAGGTTTTGCATTCATGGATTCAGTTAACTGGGATTAACATCTCAGTGTGCCACCATTTCAGACAGGTTTCCATGTGAAGTAGATAGTTGTTTTCTTAATCTCTTAAATTTCCCTGGGGAGTTTAGACAGGGCTTTGTCTGTGAAAGGAAGGGACTTTAATTTTTCTAACCTAAGGATAAAAGGAATTGATCTAAAAGTACATACAAGGCATATTCATAATCTTTTGGTTTCTTTGACCATCTTTTACAAACTAAAGGCTTTAGTTTCAGATCAAATTATTGGAAATATTTTGTGTATTTGTATCACTGATCCCCTTTCATTAGCAGAAAGACACTGTCATTGGCACTGGTTGTGTGGCCAAGATAAAAAAAAGCTCCCTGTAAGACTTCTAATTCAGTGTCTCATCTTCTCTCTGCAAGGATTTATTTTGCCTTTAGTTTAGATTTAATTTGGCTTTTTTCCATGCAAGGATATTTGTTGTTCAGAGCAATTCACAATCTCTTAAGGCCTGTGTTAATTTCCGAAAAGTCTGAGGATTTCTTGCTTCCTTCAACTGGTTGAATGTTCCCTGGGAGGATTTTCCAAAAACCTTTTGATGTGGATGAGATGGGACAAACTTACCTTCCACTGAATATTCTCAGTTTTAGTCCAAGTGTTTTCCCCCAGGGGTTTGACCCTATGTCCATGGCAGAAACTTGTGAAAATCCCACCTCAAGTCCATAGGTGGAAGTGCCCCCATCCCATGAGCAGATCCAATGGCCTAATCTCTCGACTTTAACCTCAGTCTTGATGCCAGCAGCACAACTCACATGACTTGATTGTGTTGCTGCTGGTACTAGTACCAACATTCAGACTAATGCAGACCCTCAGGAAAATGTGATAGAATAGAGAATTATCCCAATAAGGGAACAAGAAATAAACATTTTCACTTCAAAAGGACCCAAAGAGTCTACATGAAAAAACAGTAATGTCTCTTTGATACTGCATTTCATGATTTTTTTTCCATCTCTTTTTTAGGACAAGGGCACTCATCTCTGGCAGGATCTCCTTGGAAACAGTTGTAGAAAGCCATTTCCTTCCCAACACACAGCACACATGTTCACTGGCAAGGCTCATCCTCATCCTCTGCCTCATTTTTTCTTTCTATTCCCACTTTCAACAATTTTGCACCCAGGTCTGGGTGTCCCCATGACATGGGGAAAGCACAGGTTAAAACCAGCTCCCCTCATCCAGCCATGGAGAGCCCCCATGGGGCACTGGCAATGAGGCCTCGGGAAAATAATTGGGAAAACCTTTTGGGAAATTCCCTGCCCATGCCTCAGTTTCCCCAGCTGCCCCTTCTCTGGCCCCATCAATTTAAAGTCTTTTTCAGAGACAGCCTTGCGGTGGCTGACAAAATGTGCTCTGATCTCAATGAATACTTAAAGAGGTTTAAGTATAATAAAGCTGCACTACAACATCATTGACATTAGGGAGCATCCACATAAATCAGTGTTTACTCCCTCGCTGTCCTGGAGGCAGATTTTTCCTTGGCACAGCCGTTCCCTCTGCGCGAGCGATGAGGCTGCAGCAGTGAGCAAGCTCTCTCCCCGGGGACACTTTGCATTCCAAAACTGAGTTGCCAAATATCCCGAGCCCCAGTCCGGCTCTCAGCCTTGTTTGCTCCTGCCCCTGCAGCAGCTGAGCTTTGCTCAGCGTTCCTGTGGCTCCGTGGGTAGTGAGATTCAGATGTTAGTTCTGCCTGTCTGCACGTGTCCCCCGGGATCGCTGGGTCCTTTTGTAATTAGGCTGAATATTAGGATCAGTTCTCCTCTGCTAAAAATCATGAGGGATTTCCAAGGCTGGGTCCTCTTGCACATGCCTACACTGTTTGTTTGATTCTGAGTTACACTGTGAGTCAATAGCTGCATTTTTCATACACTCTGGCTCGGCGTAAAGGGTTAGTTTAACTCTCAAACACTCGATGTTGCGCTTGGAAAATGCCCTTGCAATGCTCGCTCACAACCAGCCCTGTGGTTCCTGTAGTTTATGCTTTGCTAAAACACCTGCAGTGCTGTGCACAGGGTATGCAGACTCACAGGGGTGGGCTTTCCCAAAGGGGCTGACCCAAAGCTGCAGGATGAAGTTAAAGATCAGGCATGCAGTGCTTACCTCGCAGGCAGTCAGCTCAGGCTTTCACCCTGGGCTGTTCCAAAGTTCCCAGGAAGAGCTGCACTGGCAACTGCTGCTCTTAAAGGTCCAGGCTGCCTTTACTGCCTGGCAGGGAAGCCTTATCCTCCAGCAGAGCAGCCAAAGAGGGGAAAGAGTTTCTTCTTTTATAGCAGTTTAAATTCTATTGGTTTATTTGTATTGGCATATGTGTGGAAATTTGTCACATCCTGTCATGCAATTTGTTGTGTTAGGTGCTGCACAGAAGGCCTGAAAATGATCCAGTCCCCAACCTGCTTATAATATTGAGGAGATTTTAACCTTCCACATCACAGAATGACAGCTGAAGCCCTGCAGAAGTGAAAAGCATGGGTATCATTAGCAATTTTTCTAAGTGGTTATAACCTATAGACCCAGCCTCAACCCTGCAGGTCATCCAGGGGCTTCAGTGTCTGGGGCACCTTGGTGGGTGCTCCCATGCTAAAGCAGCAATGCAGTCATGCAAAAATGATGCAGATTTTACTTTGTTGACACTGATGTGGTCTGGATCCCTGTAGGAAGTGACTTATGATAGACAGAGTGTAATCCAGGGCAGGAAGGCACTGATTTATTGGTGGGGATGGCAGCTGTTGAACTAATCACACCACACTGAGCTGTTCCTCGTGGCTGACACCAGCCCCTGCAAAGCAGCAAGGTCAGATCTGCCAAGGCACATAGCTGTCTAAATTCCCCTGGGCTCAAAGAGAAGCCCTGTCCTTCAAAAGGAAAGATGGACTCTCAAGAGAACTCTGAGCTCCCTGAACCTGCTGTGCCTTTAAGTATTTGCCTCCAAAATTAGTGATAAGGAAAAAATGAACTATTGCAATCTGAAATGAAAATCTCTTTATTTTTTTCCCTTTTTTTGTTCCCTTCCAACAGCAAGTTTCATTGCATTGGTCAGCAGTACACTGTGCCTCTGTAGGTGAGCAGGAGCACTGAGCTGGGCTGTGCAGGGGCAGCTCCTGGGCACATGCTCCAGAAAATAAGTCAGCAGAAGGAAAAGCAGCTTTCCCTGTTCCTGCCCTCCACACACAGCATCTCAGGGGCAGTGGACATAACACCCTACTCTGATCTTAAAGGTCTGATTTTACAGCTCTGGACTCATTCCCCTCAGCCTATGGAACCCCACAAAGTCCAGGAAACACTCTGACACAGGGAGAGAGGAGTGGGCACAGCCCTTTTTAGGTGTTTCCTATGTTTGTTCCCACAAACATAGGAGATTCTCGGCTGTGTGTGGATCTTCTCCTGCCACACAGCTTTGCAAGACCTGCCTGGATTTTCACCTGCATCCCAATGCTTCATCCCTGCTGTCCCACTGAGTTTAGCTCCATCAGCTCTCACACTAATTTGGGAGCCACAGAAAAACACAGGTCATAAACAAGCCAGATCCTGGGACAATTTCTTCTGAGCATTTGTATTGCAAGCTGCTGGTCCACACCATAAGAAGCCTCTCTTTCTTTTACAACCACATTTCATTTTCTCATAGGATGGGAGGGCCTCATGTGCTATAAAGAACTATTGCACCCCTGCAGCCAAGCACATGTAAGTGAATTCGACTCTGGGAAGACAGGCGTGTCAGGAGCTTGCTGTGTCTCTAAGAAATACATTTTGAACATGCAGAATAGCAGCTTTTATTAAATTTAAACTGCTAGTTCTAGAAAGCTGCACGTGCTGCATAGCAAGTGAAAAAGGTTCAGTGAGTTATTGTGTTTTTAAAAGACTTAGCTGGAAAATATTAGCACATACAAATAATCAGGACAATTTCAGTGATTAATAACTTTTTCTTTTTACTTTGGGAATACATGCTGTAATTTAGGGGGAAAAAAACATCTGAATAATTCTAGTTCACAGTGCTTGATTTTTTATTTAATTGTAATTCACTAATATAATTTGCTTAATTATAAGTGCATAGTTGTAATGCTTCCAAGATTTGTACATAAAGGAACATCAAGCACCTTCTCAAAGGGCAAAATGGTCACATTTGAGTAATTTCTCCTACTAGAAATCTTAGCCGTTAGGTATGTGATTAAGATTCATAGTTTCTCCTTATATCAGTGTAATTAATATCACTGCAAACACATCCTGAGTAGAACAGATATGTTTCAGAAAAATCATTCTGTGCATGTGTTTGGGTTCAGCCATAATAATTAAGGTGCAATGACACCCGGAGTAGAGTCTGCTGAGAGGAATGTGTATTCCCAGCAGTCTGCTGCTGAGTGCGAGCAAACAAAACGCTCAGGAGATGCTTCCAGTTCAGAGAAATGCTGCTCTTTGGTTATGTCACCGAGAGACCAGGAGCTGTGCAAAGTCTGAAACAACACATTTCTTATCATCAGTTCTAAATGGTAAATAACCTATCCTCAAGCACTCACATGGTGAGTTTGCACAGGTGTGAGATGGCCTGACTGCCACGTGAGAGGGTGTTGTGGATATGAGAGCAAAAAGAACAGGCTTGTGGCTTAACTGGAGAAACTCAGCACAGGACGTCTTTGTGGTTTTTTGGCTATTATATTCCCAAAATAATATAGTATTCATTTAAGAGGCAGGTATGATTTTCCCCAGGTGGAAGCACCAGGTAATAAAGACAAAGATATACAGCTCCATCATTCTGCCCAGCTACACTGGGTGCATTTAGAAAAGCTTTTAAGAGACGAAAGGAGTAGGGAATGGGCTGAGTCTGCTTCCCACTAAGCACAAACAGAAGGGCAATGATTTGATTGAGCTAGGCAGAAATTATTTGTACCCAACCTAAAAAGAAATGCAGGAATAGTTGTGAAAATCCATTTATTTTTCAGATCCATGCTAGTATGTTCTGCCTTACACTGGTGTAGGTGGAAGGAGAAAGATTAACCTTTGGATGCTTGTCAGAAAGAGAGGGAAGAATTGCCTGTAATGCCACTGAATTGAACTGTAATTCAGGCAGTGAGTTAGAACAGAGACAACCTGCTCGTATTGACAGGTACAAATTTCTTGTCTAGTGTTATATTGAATTTCTCCTTCAGTGTTTTCTCTATTTCTTCATCTGCAAGGGTTCTGATTTCCACAAGATCCGTATTGTCCCTATAATTGTACTTTATCTCAGTGAGTTTCCACCCCACCAGTGCCCGGATGCCGTCGGCAGTCTGCAGGCTGCAGATGGACTTGGTCACAAAGAGCGAGTCAGGAGCTGTCTGCAGGTGGGCATTGCAGCCCCTGAACTCCTCAATGTCTCGTGGCTGAAGGGTAAAGAGATAAATCCGACGGCAAGCTTCATTTTCCACATTTTGGGGAGTCGAGGTGCTTTGGTTGAGAACCAACTGCTTCCTTTTCACCTTCTCAAGGTACCAGGTCCCACTCTCCTCCTGAAAACGAAACACCCCGGGAGTCTGAGGCTGATCTCTCCCTGAAATCAGCTCCATTGGCTGCCACAGCTGGTAGGCCATCCCAAACCCCCCATCCACAATGTAGGATTTTCCCTCAAGCTCCACTTGTAGCAGCAGATGATCAATTTCATCTGGGTAGCTGTCGAGCTCTGGGACATAAACTTTTGATCCCAGAAGGGTGACGTTGTAGCCAAGAGTTTTCAGGACCCAAGACAGAAGGTAGTTGTTTTCCATGCACCAGCCCCCACGATTATTCTTCACAATCTTGTTGTAGGTCGCTTCCAGGTTCAGCTCAATGCTTTCTCCGCAGTGGATGCTGAGGTTTTCAAAAGGGACAGCTTGGATGTGGTGCTGGAAAATAGCTGACATGGTAGCCAGGTCTGGCTTATTGTGGGAGCCCCAGTAAGAAATTCTGGCAAAATACTCCTTGATGTCCATGCTGCCTCTGAGAGAAGGGTGGGAAAAAATAATAGGCTGTGTCAGAACTGGTGGAAGGCTCTTCCCCATCCCTTATAATGGGGTGCTTGGAAGAAGAGCAGGATTTGACTAATGTCTGTATCAAAGGCAGCTGAGTAATAGTGCTGAGAGAAGCCAATGGGACACTGCTGATGAGTACAAATGTTATTTTTATTTGCTTCTTTTACAGCTGTGATGAGAGGCTCCAGCTGTGGTAAGCACATTTCAGCAGAGTTCCTGCCCAGCAAAACTACAAATCTCTGTAGGAAGGAACGAAAGCAATAGCAGCGATGTTTCCCTGCTAGAAATTATAGGAACTGAGACTCTCCAGATCTGAACTGCTTTGCTCGTGGTTTGACTCAGCAATGCAGAAGCAGAAAACAAACCCTCCTACTCTTACAGTGCGATCCAGAGCCTCTTCTGCAACCAAACCTGAAGCAAATCTATCCTTCCATGGGATTTTGTTCATTATTTAGGCAGCCAGGCATGAGCTGGTCTCCTGCTCCTGCTCTCTGTGTTACTCGGCAGTAACAGATGTGACCTGGAGTGCAGAAGGCTTTTTTAAGGCAGAAAAGGCTGTGGGAGGTTTTTTGCTGTATCTGCTGTGAGCTGCTTCCCCACAGCACAGCTTAGCTCCCCAGTCCTGCTAATCACAGCCCTCCTCCAGCAACAAGAGGAAACCAAGGTTTGGGCCTAAACCACAAGGTTCAAAGGCCTCGCATTTTCTGAGATCATTTTTTGGGATGCAGTTGCTCCTTCTGCTCGTGGTCTTCCCACTGGTGGGTGGCTGCCTGTGGGTGAGGGAGAAGGCATTGCCCTCCTCTGGGATGGCACAGGGCTCAGTGCAAGGCTATTTCACAAACACAGGGGTGGAAAGCAGCTCAAGCCCTCCCAGCCCTTGATGGGATTTTGATGGAGCCAAGTACTTTTGTTATTTCTCCCCAGGCACTGCAAAATTTCAGACATCTGTAAGTATGGAGCAATGTTGTTCTCACTGTTGACCTGAGAGGTCCAAAAATGCTCTCAGGTTTCTGTATGCAACTCCCAAAGTAAAATCAAAACAAAAATATCCAACTGTTCAACAGGACAGTATTCCCAATCTGACGAAAAATGGTGTACCCAAAATTGCATGGGAATTTTGTCAGTACATAAACAAAACAATGAACATGAAAAATTCCCATTTGGTGTAATATCCTGGCAGAAGCAGAGGGGGCCATGGTTTGGGTCCCCACACAACCTTTGGGATACCTTTACAAAACTTTGACTATTGCATCATGGCCACCACCGTGTCTCAACATCCGAGCAGGCCTGAGTCATCCACGACGGGGTTAAGAGCATCAGAGTCAGGAGGTTCTCTTTGTTCAGCTTTTGGCTGTTCCCAGGATTTTCCCAGAACTACAGTTCTATTCATTTCTGAAAACTTGGCACAAGCTTAGTTCTTGTTGTGTGAATTTTAAACCAGCATCACCAGCAATGAGATGTTTTTTCCCTTTTTCTCCCTTCCTTTCCCTCTGCCACAGCAAGCAGAACATTTTACTTAGAGTGAAGATGTTGGTGTGGGTTTGTCTGTCTGTCCATCCCTTGAGGGTGTTTAGAGGGCTGTTTTAATGGGGATTGCTGAAATGAGGCAGATGGCACAAATGCCCAAGTTGCTTGAGGCTCACAACTGAGTAAATAAACCAGCGTATCTACAACGCCGAGCAGCTGAGCTCCCTGCTCTGCCCTTACACCATTTCTGCTGTGCTTTGTCCCCAGCCAGATTTAACTTCCTTGTTAGAGAGCACTCAGCTACCAAGATCCAGGGGTTAAGAAAAAGACTTACCTGGAAAATCAGTTCAAGCGCCAGTGTACCTCCGGGGCTTGGGGTGGTTCTAGGCTAAAGCAAGTGGCGTGGCTGGCTGTCCTCTGCTTAGCACAGACAGGGTTTGAGGACTGCTTTCCAGCTGCTTTTCAGGGCAATGTCCTTTCCTTCAACTTGCTTTCACCCGCCTCTGTCAGATTGCAAAAGCTGGAAAAAAAAAAAAAAAAAAAGGAAAAGAAACACCCCGAAGGGTGGAGCGTGAGAGCTGGAGCGAGCCAGCAAGGCCAGCAGCAGTGCAAACCTGGCTGTTGTTAGAGCAGAGGCTGCTTCACATTTTCACTTGTTTGCTGCTGCCTGCAGGGGCCTGCTCAGGCTGTCACCAAAATGGTTTTGTTTCAGTAGCTTGCTGGATGTACTCGGGTGAGGCAGTTTTCTTCTCCCAGTCATTAGATTACTATTTGTTTGGAAATGTGGGGAAGGAAAGCTTGCATGCATTCAGTCTGAGAAGGTTTTGACACTGTTTCTGAAGAACAGCAAGATTTCAGCACAGTAAGCTGCACCTGCAACCTGCTTACCCCAGTCTGAAGCTCAGGAGCTTCAGTGCTGCCTTTGCTTCCTTTGCTCTGTGTGATTTCCATGTGGTTTTTATTACAGCAAATTTCATAGAATATAAGAAAGTATTGGGCCAGCAGTGTGAATCCTTTGGTCTTCACCCACAGGAATCGCCTGCAGATGATGTTGATGGTGAAGATGCTCTTGGCAGAGTGATGACTATGAAGTATTAACACATAGGGAGCTCCAGCCTCTCAGAGTATTTCATATTGCTTTTGTATCTCCCAATTTTGTTTGCATTTTGTCAAGTCTGATTCATTCCCTGACATCTACAGCTGGATCTTCCCTGTTAGCTCCCCGACAGTAGTTCCAGTCCTTCACATTTAGTGTCAATGCCAAGCTCCATTCAAACACTGATTTATTGGGATAATTAGCAGGGATAATAAATCAGATGAAACTAAGATGTCTGTGATAACCCATTACACAGCTCCACTGCCATATCAAAATTTGGCTTTTTATCATCCCATCAGTGGCCCATATGTGACCCCACAAGAGACAACCCAAGCCACAAGATGCTGAAGGGAAAGGAGAACCTGCTCTCATCAGACTCATCTGGGCAGATCCAAATCAGTACAAAGAGAAAGTTTGTGCTCCTGTCTGAATCTTACTGATCTTTTCTTCCCACAGAACCCTCATTTTGACAGGAAGAAGCCAAAAGTCAAGCAGGCAGATCCCAGTCCTGATGGAAACCCTCCTGAAATTCCATGGACCTGTCTCTGTACAGGTGAGGAGACCCATCCATGCTCCTTGACCAGAGAATTTCCCTTATGTGAACTGGCTCAGGGTCAGTGCCAGGGAACTTTGGGGTCCAGTTTATAAATACAGATGTTTTCTGACCCAGGAGGAGTAAAACCCATTTTCCCTGGTACTTTGATGCTCAGCTTTTCTCAGTTCTTCTCCCTAAAACCTATCTGATATTGAGAATTTCTTCCACGTCTTTCAAATTCTCATCCCAGCTCACAACCCTGCATCACTCTCCTTTTTCTTCATGCACATTTTACAGCCAAGCCTTTGCAACCACGAGCTCCCCAGGAGTGCCCAAGGCCAGCACAGGGCAAAGCTCAGCCAGGGAATGCTAAAGGTAAGGAAAGGCTGATCTTGAGCCTCAAGCCTTGCTGGAGTCTGCTCAGTGCCTTACCAGATCATCAGGGCTAATTCCAGGTGGGGCAATAAACTGCAGTGAGAGCTGTGGGTAATGGCCACAAGGTGCCCTCACCTGTCCCCAGGAGCCACAAAGGACAGAGCCCAGCTTGGGCCAGCTGGGATGGGGAACACAACAACCACAGGGGGAGTGTGGAAATGGGAATGTCCTTGGAAAGGACACTGCTGTCCACCTGGACACTGAAACGCCACTTCCCAGCCTTGGCAGGAGCCAGAGCTGGCTGAGATTTTTCCAGAAGATCCTCAGTGTAATTGCACTCACTTTTATATAAATTTAAACTGCTGACAGCATTAAATTGAATACTGAAATCCTTCTCTCATCCTGACTCTCCTGAGAGGCCTCATCAAATATCTCTCCCTCCCTGCTTTAATGGAGCATTAGATGCTGCAATATTTGCTTGGGGAAATAAAAGCATTGGGTGCCCTATTTGAGGTGAAAGTCAAGTGTCTGGTCCCTTCTATAATCAGATCTCTGGTACACTGTATAAAAAATTAAGGTATTTATATTATATTATATTATATTATATTATATTATATTATATTATATTATATTATATTATATTATATTATATTATATTATATTATATTATTACAAGGATATTATTACAAGGATGTCTAACATACAAACTATACATATAAATAAAGATAGACTCCTAAAGTAATAAAGCAGTTGAGGTGTTTTAAATGGAATTAGTCTGCATCTTAAACTTTTACATGAGGTCAGAGCCTACTGAGCTCTGAGCCAAGTGTCTGGCTCTTGCCTTTCATTTCCAAAGGGAATTTGATAGATGCAGGCTGCCCTAATCCAAGACTGGTAATAATATTCACACCTCTAAACATATTCATAGTGGCAGAACTCACTCATGCTTGACATTCATTGTCTTCCTTATGTAATTCCAGATATCAAAGCTGTGGCTACGTGTCTTTCTGGATTTGTATCCTCAACATCCACCATGTGCAGCTGGGTGTTGTCCATCCAGCCAAAGGATGAGCCTGCAGCTCCAGCAGGAACTTTTCCCCATGGCACTACAGAAGGGAGCAGCTGTGCTGGACACTTCTTGGCTTTTTCTCAGTGAAGAAGAGGCCAAATCTTGCTTTTCGTGTTTCCTCTATTGCATCTTTTTGAGGGCTGGTGGGGGTCAAAAGTTATCTCCTTTGCCAAGATGAGGTTTTTCACACAAACCAGCTCTGATGGTGTTAATGTAGACCAAGGAAACCACGTTGGTCTGCAGATCCTTCCAGCTGAGGGTTTCAGCATGAATCTCTCACACATGAATGGTCATAATTCAGTTAATTTCCATTACAAGGGGAACAACTGGCTTTTCTACATGCATGGTTTTGTCTCACGGAGGCTTTAACAGAAAAATAGAACATTTTAAGTAACTGCTTTGATGAAAAATGTGCCCATACATCTGCCAGTGAGGAAGATGGAGAATTTGCTTAATTTCACAAGCAATAATCACACCCCTAACACGCTGCTCCTGTCTCCATCTCATGGGCTGCCTCTCCCAGAGATGCCAGCAGTGTTGTCAAACTCTGAAAGGGCTGAGAGAAAGTCCTGGAGACTGGAAAGCAGACTCCATTATTGTCCATCACTCATCATTGGTAGCTGCTGGGTGATTGCAGGGCCATGAATTCTCTGCAGGGACAGAAAGGCCTCATTTGAAAATATAAATGTTATGTTGGTCTAGCCCAAAAGCCATCCTGTTACAATGAATTAACTGATCATCTGCAAAAATTCCTGCTAAGCAAATACATAAAATAGCCTGTTACCTGGGCACACATAATTACACCCATTTTGGTACAAGCTGCCTAACCAAGAGGGTTTGCAAGTCAGCAGTCTCTATCACTGCCAGGCCCAGGAATGGCTGGGTATTCCAACCTGTGCACCACTTGCAAAAAAATACAGTTTCAATATTTTTTAAGAGGAAAATATTCTCAAATAATGTAACGGTGAAATGACCAAAGGAGAGTTACATGTATGAATACAAGGGGGTGATGTGCATTTGCTCAGCCTCTGAAATTCCATATATATATTTATAACCTCTAAAGAAAAAAAATATTGGTAAATATGCCCAAATGCAGCAGCAGTCACCATTTATGAGCCATGAAACCACCAAGCCTCATCCTCAACAGGGTTAAATTGTCCTCATTCCATCAGAACCATGTGGCAATGCTGCTTCCACTCACCTGGATTTGGGTCTGCTCCTCAAAAATGCTCCTCCAAAACCAAACTGCTGTTTCAGTGCAAAAACCCTCAGGGACTTTAGTGGGAATCTGGATCAGTCCTAGTTCAGGCAATCAGCCTGGAAGCATGCAAAGCAGGAGCAATTACATGAGTTCTGTCATTCCCATTACTCAGGCTTTATATTTTCTTCTTGGAGGTAGATGTGAAGGAAACCTTTTATCTTGGTGAAGAGTGTTACAGTGACAGCAAAGGGGAAAAAAAGCAACTGTGCCTTTGGAAAACACATTTTCATTACAATGTACTAACACACATCACAGAAATAATATATGTTTGTGATGACAAAGTATTCCCACCACTCCACTGCTGAATTTGGTGTACAGGTGGGGAAAAGAAAAGAGAGATGTTCTGGATTAAAAATGCTCTCCCAGACTTACCTTTACTGGGATTTTATTTGCTTTCTGCCCTGCAGTGTGCTCGGGGGGACGCACTGGTGTGACTCCCAAGTGGCGCTGCAGGAATTCGTGCACTCTTCAATATCCTTTTCACAGGTTTTTTCTGCCTGCCCTGTATGTTTACAGCACAAAGCAATGTGCACCGTGTAGAGGTGCATGGAAAAGAAGAGGTGAAGTTTTAGGAATCATCCCTTTCCCGAAAAAAAACTCCACACCTGCTGGGATGCCCCACACATTACCCATAATAATATTACTTTTTTTCCTAGCAAGGAGCAATTTTATCCTTGATCATACAAACTACTGAATGGGCTTTGCTGTGAGATGATGAACCTGATTAATTTGGCATCATCCCTGGGCATTTTCATCCCATAAGGTAAAAGGCAACTAATTTCCTTGCAGTGGTCATGGTCTTTCCTTTTCCTCATCACACCGTTGCAAATTGATGCTACACCCAGGGCAGTGTCTCCTCACAGGCAGATGCTGAGGATTCTGTCATGATGGAAGATTGTCATCCACCTTCCAAACCCTTATTTAATAGGAGCTGTGGTGTGAAATTCTGGTCAAACAGTCCTTGAAAAGTAACCACCTGCTTTTTAAGCATCTGGAGGCACATCTCTTCTGCTCTTCTATTTAAAATAAATAGAGCTGTCATGGAGAAAAGCCTGTGGTTCAGCCATGTCCCTCTGAGACCAAACCAAGCAGTAGATTTGTCAATTCACACTAATGCTATTTTTAATTGCTTTCTC